GCAAACTTGCCTCTTATTATCAATATCCTTTTTTTTACAGTTAGGACATTGTTTGCTGCAACGAATATTCAGACCTACATTAGATGCAAGAGAATCAATCTTATTAGTTGTGTTTAGTTTTTCTTTACGTAATGAATCAAGAATTTCGAAAAGATAAATGTGTAATTCTTTGTCTATCACGCCTTGCATTTCAAATGTAGTATTAAAAAGACTTTCATATTGCGACCTATTAAGAGAATTGAATACATAAGGCGCATTATTAGTATGTTGAATATAATTGCGTGAACTTATATTAAAGGCGACGAAACTAGTAACGGTATGAAATATCATTGTATTGAGTCCTCTGTCAAGATAATTCTTTTGTCCTCTTTGTTCATTATCAAATGCTAAAAATAGAAGGCCTTTCGGTAGTGCTTCTTCCTTATCTGATAATTCGTCTAACCAGTTTTGAAAACTAAAATAACTTCCTGAGCTCATAATGTGATTATCAATGTTGATAACACTTTTAGACCTTGCAATGGAATACTTAATGGCTGATGCTACAAGACCCATTTCCGATACATATTTTCCATGCCTGGACCTATACACTGAATCGATGGCTATAGCCCTTTTATAAATTTTTTCGACACTTTCAGAACCTATATTAAGATTATTGGATGTTAATGTTTCAATAAATTTTACAACGACCTGGTTACGCTTATTTAGCCATCCTTGGAGAGTATAATTCAATAGATTTTCTAAAGAAAATCTATTATTATTTTTAATAAGAGATTCAACATCATTATACAACGATTCTTGTTCGATTAGCGCAATATCGATAACGGTCTGTATACGCTTATTCTGATTGCTATATCGAGAATTCCACTGTTCCGCTAGTTGCCCATTTACTTCACATTGTTTTTGATATAACTCCCTTAACTGAGCTATTACATTATGACATTCTTCTAGTTGCCCGGTTAGCCTTGATATTTCTTGTTTTTGATTTTCTGTTTGCCGTTGTAATTCTGTAATTATATATTTATTGTTTTCTATAACTTTTTCAAATTCTGACAAGTGACGCGACACATTATCAATGACTATTTCATCAGTATTAAATTCGGAAGCAGAAATGCAATCGTTATCAGAACTAACATCAAGCCGGGATCTTTTACTAGCGCTAGAATTATCTAAAAATTGATGGTAAAAATGATCAGCTTTTACAACTTGATTATAATGGTTTACACAAATAGAAAATTGAGAAAAATCTCGATCTCTGAGTTCTGGTATTAAATCTTGAAATGCTTCAAGCTTTCTAGCCACCGCTGAACCGTTAGCCTTTTTCCAATGTCCTGATTGTGACATTCCACAAGCACTTAATCCCTGATCACCATAATTACTAATTAGATCAAGAAATATACAAGGAAGTTCTTTGGCTTTCAATTCTTGCTTGGTCGACGAAGACTGAGACATTGTTTTTGAATGTTAGTTAGCTGGTATTTTTGAAAAAAAAGGTTAATATATTAGCTTTAGCGATATATAAGTACATATTTCTACAAAATTTCATATCTCATTTACCTTTTTGAAAATAATGGATCTTAAATGGATCTTTATAAATTGTTAATCTAAAGACTCTTTTATATAAGTTTATATATCGTTTCAGTATTAATAAATATCGAAAATTGCAAAAATTTTGACTCTAAAAAGACCACCAAGAGCCAATCAAAATTTGCGAATCGTCAGTAGATCATTCTAGAAACGTTCTAGAAATGATATCCAAATTTGGCATATTCCCCGACTGTAGTAGATCCACCACGTAGTAGACCTGGTTGCGAATCATGGGATTTATATTAATCAAGCCCGGTTTTTTTCAGATATCTAGACTGCCTATTATAAATGCAAAA